AAAGAATGTCCTTTGTCCACAAGGTGTAGGTGTACTGCGGAGTCTTGTCCAGAGGAGGGCGCTCTTCTGTGTTGGGCCATGCGTCTGTGGAGCGGTTGTTTGGTTTCTCCAATATAAAGATCAGAGCATTCCTCGCTGCACTGAACAGCATATACCACTCCGCTCATATTTGGTCTGGGGGTTTTATCTTTAGGATGGACTAGCCTCTGTTTAAGGGTTTGGTTTGGCTTGAAATGTACTGGGATCTTGTGTTTGGAGAAAATTCTCTTGGGTTTTTCAGAGACTCCAGCAACATAAGGGATTGTGATGTTTTTGTGTTTATTTTTCCCATCGCTGTCTTCTGTTGCATGTCTTTTGGATTTACTTGCTGATTTGATAAACGTCCAGTTTGGATATCCACAGTTTCGGAGAGCATCTTTGATGTGTTTCTGTTCTTTTTGCTTCCCATCTGTTTTAGTAGGGACATGTTCTGCCCGGTGTTTTAAGGTTCTGATGACTGAGAGTTTGTGTTCCAGTGGGTGGTGTGAGTCAGAAAGAATATACTGGTCTGTGTGAGTAGGTTTCCTATACACTTCAATGTTTAGGCTTCCCTCTCCTTCCATGCTCACCAAGCAGTCCAGAAAGGGTAGTTTGTTGTCCTTGGCATCCTCTCTGGTGAATTTGATGTTACGGTCAACAGAGTTGATGTGCTTGGTGAAAGCTTCCACTTCCTCTAGCTGGATTTTGACTAATGTGTCATCCACGTATCTGAACCAGTGGCTTGGTGGTGTTCCATTGAAAGTGTCTAAAGCTCTCTTTTCCATTTCTTCCATGTAAAGATTGGCTACAATTGGTGATACTGGAGATCCCATTGTGCAGCCATGCTTCTGCCTGTAAAAATGACCTCTGAATGTGAAATAGGTTGTGGAAAGACAAAGGCCCCGTAGTGTGCAGATCTGGTAGTGAAATTAGTCCTGTTGTTTAAGTCACTGTCTTGTTCAAGATGTGTCCTGACTGTTTCCACTGCCTCTGTTATAGGTATGCATGTGAAAAGTGAAGTAACATCAAACGATACCAGGGTTTCTCCTGGTGTCATCCTTAAATGTCGACTTTGTTAGCAAAGTCTTTGGAGTTTTCTATGTGATGTGGTGTGTTTCCCACCAAGGGAGCTAAGATATTAAGCTGTTTAGCAATGTTGTATGTTACTGAGTTAATGCTGCTGACGATGGGCCTGAGTTGCGCCATTTGCTCTCATTATTTATCATTTAATCTAGAAGGGGGGTGGGGGTGCAGCAGATGTGCTGCTGTGGACTGAATCCTGAACTATGACTTTGAAAGGGTAACAGCTTTAATAGTCCTTAGTTTTCCCTGCTGATGCCTAATCAGCTATAATTTCACCTTCCCTATTTGTTGAACTAATGTATATTTTGTTGTTTGCTTTCTTTTTGATCAGTTCTTTTCAATACTTTTGATATTTAAATTAAATTATGTTTATTTCTATAGCTTTAATTCACATCACGTCATCTCAGGTCACTTTCCAGTTCACAAGATCATCCAGTCAGATTAATTCAAAGTTTTCTATCTAAGGAAAACCAGCTGATTGGATCGACTCATTGACTCTTCAGCAATCCCTCACACTAAGCATGCTTGTAGCGACAGTGGAGAGGAAATCCCCCTTTTAACAGGAAGTAACCTTAAGCAGAACCAGAACCAGGCTCAGTGTGAGTGGCAATCTGCTAACCCAAACCCTAACCAGGGAGGAATTTTAAAGGACTTTGAAGGGGAAAAAACATTTCCAATTATTAAATTCTTCTTGTTGACATTTTGTCAATCACTGGCCATCCCTAGCCAATCACTGGCCATCTTTAGTCAATCACTTGCCACCCGTGGTCCATCACTGGCTATCCCTAGCCAATCACTTCCCACCCCTAGTCAATCACTAGCAATCCCTAGCCAATCACTTACTACATCTAGCCAATCACTGGCCACCCCTAGTCAATCACTGGCCATCCCTAGCCAATCACTTTCCACCCCTAGTCAATCAATGGCCTTTCCTAGTCAATCACTTGCCACCCGTGGTCCATCACTGGCCATCCCTAGCCAATCACTTCCCACCCCTAGTCAATCACTAGCCATCCCTAGCCAATCACTTGCTACATCTAGCCAATCACTGGCCACCCCTAGTCAATCACTGGCCATCCCTAGCCAATCACTTGCCACCCCTAGTCCATCACTGGCTACCCCGAGTCAATCACTGGCCATCCCTAGCCAATCACTTTCCACCCCTAGTCAATCAATGGCCTTCCCTAGTCAATCACTGGCCATCCCTAGTCAATCACTTGCCACCCGTGGTCCATCACTGGCCATCCCTAGCCAATCACTTCCCACCCCTAGTCAATCACTAGCCATCCCTAGCCAATCACTTGCTACATCTAGCCAATCACTGGCCGACCCTAGTCAATCACTGGCCATCCCTAGCCAATCACTTGCCACCCCTAGTCCATCACTGGCTACCCCGAGTCAATCACTGGCCATCCCTAGCCAATCACTTGCCACCCCTAGTCAATCACTGGCCATCCCTAGCCAATCACTTGCCACCCCTAGTCCATCACTGGCCATCCCTAGCCAATCACTTACCACTCCTAGTCAATCACTGGCCATCCCTTGACATGGTGCTAGACCAGAGGCAGATTAAAAAGTTTATTTCCTGGTTAAACGGAGAAGAGCTCAGTCAACTTAGACAGAAACAGGGAGAGAGAGAGTCTGAGTTTGGATCCTTTTCCAGAGGATGGTCTTGTGTTGGATTGAGGGTGGAAAGGCAGGCTGATTGTTCCTGTAAGGAGAGGAGACAGTTCCAGAGCAGCAAGGAGATGGAGGAAAAGGACCTGATCCTGGTGAGCGTCGATCTGGTTCACTGAGGGAGCAGAACCAACTGGCAGCTTGCTCCAGGAAACTGCTCCAATATAAAGGCCCCCACTGATTGTCATCAAGGAGTAACAGCTGGAACCCATCAACCCTGCCACCCTGTAATTAAGCAAAAACACAAAGACCTAACATCCCTAACCAATCACTTGCCCCCCCTAGTCAATCACTGGCTACCCCGAGTCAATCACTGGCCATCCCTAGCCAATCACTTGCCACCCCTAGTCAATCACCGGCCATCCCTAGCCAATCACTTGCCACCCCTAGTCCATCACTGGCCATCCCTAGCCAATCACTTACCACTCCTAGTCAATCACTGGCCATCCCTAGCCAATCAGTTGCCATCCCTAACCAAATAATTGCCACCCCTAGTCAATCACTAGCTATCCCTTGCTAATCACTTGCCACCCCTAGTCCATCACTGGCCATCCCTAGCCAATCAGTTGCCACCCCTAACCAAATAATTGCCACCCCTAGTCAATCACTAGCCATCCCTTGCCAATCACTTGCCATCCCTAGTCAATCACTAGCCATCCCTTACCAATCACCCACCATCCCTAGTCCATCACTGGACATCCCTTGCCAATCAATTTTTTTATTTTTTTTATTTTATATGCCCTAACCACTAGGCCGCCACCCCTACTCAGTCAGTGGCCACTCAGAGCCCAGGTCCAAGCAAAGCTGTCCTGGTGGCCAGAACTGACTAGGTCCCTGAACAGGGGTTCCACCACACATTGCTTTTTTTTGTTTTTCCTTTCCTGTTCTACTTATATTGCAGTGTTCATATAATCTGTAAAACTCCCTGCATAATTATAATAAAGCTATTTATATGCATAAATCAATAGGAACGCTATGGCGATAGCCGTACTGCTCCACTTGTGAAAGCAAAATCTGTTGGGCTCTTTTTGGCATCAAGACAATTATTCTTATTGCCACATTGCCAGACAGGACAATGTAAAAAAAAAAAAATGAAAAAGAAAGTTGATCGGACAGCTGCAGCTGATCCAGATGCTGCTGCCTACGTCCTCACTAGGACTATATAAAGTAAATCAGACACCTGCAGCTGATCCAGACACTGCTGCCTGCATCCTCACTAGAACTAAGTAAGTAGATCACATCAGACCGGTTCTGGAGCTACTGGCTCCCTGTAACAGACTTTGAAATCCTTCTGTTAGTCTACAAATCACTGAATGGCTTCATTGCCTGTTACTGGTTTCCTTTGACTTTTCTATCTCAGCTGTTAAATTAAACATCAGTAAATTAAGTTTGGAGTCCAACTTTTCTGTACATGTCTCTATCATGGCACTGAACTGTAATTTTCCTCTTACCATGTGTTCATGTTTAGCATTTCATTCTTCCTAATTCCAACCATAATCCTAATTCCCATAGTTTATGTTCACAGAGACGATGGATCATGTGAAGCTGAAAGCTGATACTGAAGGCTTTGACATCCTGAACTGTTTATGTTCAGTCTATCTGCTGACATCATGTCTGTTCATTCAGAGTTACAGTTTAATTCTGATGAGTCTTCATATCAAAATGAGGCAAATCATTGTTGTTCAGTGACATCAGAACCCCCCCACCCCACCCCATGCTGCTGACAGCATCTCTATTTCTCTGCATGTGGAGCCCATTAATCATGGCGAACTCTAATCATCACACATTTACTGTCAGAATCTGCTAATGCCCAGTCTGGACAGGGTCAAAGGATCTGATTGGTAAGGATGATGACCTATGACCTCAGACCAGCCAGGATCCCCCAGGAGTCACATGTCAGCACGCTGTCTGAGACACGCAGCTTCAGCTCTTTGGAGGCAGGCTTCAGCCTGTAGCCCTCCTCTTACACGTGTTTCCATTTTTGATTAATGTAAAAAACAGCAAAACATCTTCAGATCACAGTAGGAAGGTTGGAGAGGAAAGATGAACTGGAGATGAAGTGAGACTTTTCAGAGATTTTCTCACATTTTAAAAAGAACGGCTGTAAATAAACTTTATGTACATGTAAACTGGCTAAAGCAAAGTTATCTTACATATAACAACTGTAAACAAACAAAAAGCAATCAGCCTTCCACGACCATCACACACTAAGCTGGGCTTACCAGTCCTGGGCCTCGATCCAGCCGGCCAGGCCCTGCCTGATGTCCATGGGGAAGTTATCATCATACAGGTAGTCCACCTGTTCCAGGAGCCTCATCTCCAGCTGCTGGATCTGTTTCCACTGGCTCATTGTGCTGGGATGCTTTGCTTCTAGGTCCAAACTCTGCGCTGGGATGAAGAGTCCAGGTTCTGGAGGCGTCCTGTAAAGAGCTGGATGTGCTTTTCTTTAGCTGTTTTATCAGCATGTGTGTCTGTTTCTGCAGGGACTTTCAGTTTTACAGAGATCAGGAAGAGAGCTAGTTTACTGGCTGCCTCATCACCAGGAAACCACCCCCACCCTCGGCCTCAGGCAGCAGAGCCGCTCAGGAAGGAACAGGTTCCTGCCTGAGAACTCTGAAAAAATAACAAAATGCGCTGACAGAAAGCCAGGATTATTTGTAAGGTAGAGAAGCAGATTATCATCATAATGGATTATCTACCCCCCTGACCCCCCCCCCCCCCCCCAACCTCCCAATGTTTGTTGAAAGTTAGAATCAATTCAAGATATGGATGACATCATCAAATAACGCTTTGCGGTAGGGACATTAAAGGCTCACCATTAGAAATACTTTATATTGCTCTACTGTAGGGTTACTTTCTTCTGATCAAATGGCGCCCCCTGGAGGTTATGGGGCAGCTGTCTGTGCTTTTGACCAGAAACATTTCCACTTTATTTGGCAGCTTTATTTGGGTAGCACCTCTGGACACTGCTGCTGCTGCAGCATGAAAATAGCAGGAAAGACTCATCAACAGAGATATTTCCTGGAAGGATCATGCTGTGGGATTGCAGATGAATGTTTTTCCTCCTCCTTCTCTCAATTAAATCAATTAAAAAGAATGCTGGAACCCACATTAGCCTCCGGTTGCTGTTAGACACTTCATGACACTTTGATACATAATTCACCGTTCACCTTCAGGGTCTCACCAGATAATATCAGGGTAATAAACCGCTGATGTGAGCTAGAGGTGGGCTGCTCTCAGGGTTTGATATCAAACCATTAGGATGCTGTTTACTTTGCTGTCTCTCTCTGTGAAATCGGTTCAATTATCTCCACTACTCCCAGTGGAAAACTGAGATCAAGGTCTGGGATTTGACTAGTCCAGGCATCCCCAAACTCGGTCCTCAAGCCCCCCTGTCCTGCAGGTTTCAGAGGTTTCCTTGCTCCAGCACAGCTGATTTTAATTGAAAGCTGATTAACAGGCTTTTGGTCTACTGTAATCATTATAACCAGCTGTGCTGAAGCAGAGAAACCTCTAAAACCTGCAGGACAGGGGGCCTTAGGACAGAGTTTGGGGATGCCTGGACTAGACCAACCAGGTGTTTTCATCCCTTAACCTCAGCCGGTTCCTGGTGAATTTACTGGATAGATTTTAGATGTTCCTCTTTTCAAAGATGGCCTCAGATTCAAAACAAAAAAAAGAAAAAAAGAAAAAGAAGAAAGAAAAAGAAAAAGAAGAGCTGATGCAGACTAGTTATCTCACCCTACACATTAGGTGGTTTGGTTTGGGAGGTGGTTAGGGAACGTGCAAACGGAGGGTTAGGTTTTAGGGGCCATTTTGCGATTCAGCATAGACATAAATATGAGAGTAGACCCCCCATTGACTAACGCGGCACTGAAACTATGGGAGCCATCTTGGGGGGGTCAACCTGCTACCCTAACCTGCTGGTTTAAGCAGAACAGAAGGAGAACGCCTCAGCAGTGTGCAGCATATTTTAATCTGAGTCCAGGGATTATTGACATCAGGACTCGATGGATTAGTTAGTGAAGGCATTAGAGCTTATATATATATATATATATATATATATATATATATATATATATATATATATATATATATATATATATATATATATATATATATATATATTATACATACAGCTGGGTGTATTTAAACACATAGAAATCATGGAGAGTCTGAAATTACATAATCTAAAATAAAATACAGAAATCATACAGAAACAATCTACGATCTTTTAACAATTTATTTGTATGATACAGCTGCAAATAAGTATTAGAACACGTCTATCACCTGTACAAAACGAAATAAAATTTTGTTTACAAAATGAAAATAAAAGTTGTCTAGTCTAAGTCTAAGCTAGACCTGTCAGTCTGCCTTCAGAGGCTATGTTCACACTGCAGGCCTTGATGCTATATTCCGATTTTTTTTTTGCGTTGCCGTTCATATTTCCAAATATATGCGACTTGTATGTGATCTCCTGTGTGAACTGCAGTCATACGACGCATGTGTCCCGCATGCGCAGTAGAGGACGCAGTGACCTCACAGGCCAGCCTGCTCTTTTTTTCCGGAAGTAAACATGGCTGGTAGTGCCGGCGCACATCTAGTGATCTTTTCCAACCATAAAATCTCAATCTATTTAATATGTTTAAACATAAACACTGCTCTACGCATCATCATCTGCCGTTGTTGTTGTTTTTTTTGCCGCTTCTGCATAGCAAGACGCAGCATAGTGACCTTTGTCGGGTATTAATGACATTCAGGTCAGATTCATCCGTTCACGTGTGGATGAGTGCGACCTGGCCGTTCACACACAGGTCGCATTTGAAAAGATCCGATTCGTATCGGATTCAGGACCACATAGCCAAGTGGCCTGGGTCGCATTGGAAAAAATCGGATCTGTGTTGTTCAGACAGTCATGAAAAGATCAGACCCGGGTCACACATGGGTGAAAAAATCAGATTTGGGTGACTTCAGGCTGCAGCGTGAACGTAGCCAAAATGTCCACCTTCATTTATTCTCCTAAATTAGATGCACCTGTCTGAGGTGGTTAGCTGCATAAAGACACCTGTCCATCCCATACAATCAGTAAGAATCCCACTACTAACCTGGGCCAGACCAAAGAGCTGTCCAAACAAAGACACTAGAGACTAAACTGTCCTCCTCCACCAGGCTGGGAAGGCTGCAGGGAAATAACTAGTGATGGTGAGATGAGGCCTCATGAGGCATTGAACCGTTTGGCCAGTTTGCTTCAACGACCCCCCAGTTCATGAGGCTCCATGTGAACATGTCACCACCTACTGGTGGAAAGCAGAACTACAGGTAGTAATAAAATCTGTGATTTTTTGCAAACGTTTTTCTTTTTTGCCCCCTTTAAGTTCCTCTGAAATTGTTAATTGTTAGTGTGTATAATAAAATCTTTTGTAATTTTTTAAGTGTAAAATTTCTTAGAACAATAATTTAAGGTGCACAGTTTTTCTGCCATTTTAGTGAAATAAACTCAAGCAGGCAGTGAAAATGTGCAAAGTGGGCAATGATGAGGAAAATGAAAGGTGTCATTTTTATTCAAACATGATAGTTTTTCCATCATTTGGTTTTATTCAGTCAGAAGTTGTGTTCATCAATCTTTTGGCTAAACCGACCTAATTTGGCAGCATTTTTACCCAATCTATATTTTTACTCGGGCAAACCAATGCAAATTAGTCTCAAGCCAAAGTAATTAAGTTTAATCGCAACTTTCAAAAGTCAAAGGCAGATTTTGAACCATCAACCTGTAGGGTGAGAATCCGTGCCTTACAGATGACGCCGCTAATATGGCTAACCATAGAGCAGAGAAAATACTGCTCAATGCTGATGTGTTAACACTGACTGTGTCTGATGGCCTGCTCAGATTTTCCTCATTACATTATTTATTATAACCTAAATAGTTTTAAACAACTAGATTGGTTGTTTTTCCATCCCATCTATTCTTAGAATCTATCCAAACTCTGTCATACTGACAGCATCTCTCCTCCAATCTCCAACATCTTGACTGAATCCTGAGGCTGTTTAGATGCCTGTCAAAAATGTTCTAATGAAGCTTCTTGCGCTTCCCGTCACGTGGTTTCACGGCAGCGAGGCCACGGACGTCATCAACTTTGGCCCCTCCTCTAAATGAATCTCGACACGCGCTTCGGGGAAACGCCCCTCCATTACTGGACACACGCCCCGAAGCCTCGGCTCATCTCAGAACATCACTAGAAATAACCGAGCAGCTTGGTGGAAAAGCTCCGCTGTTGGAGCTTCATTAGAAAATGGAAGAAGCTAAACATGACTGTCAGTCAGACTGGGGCTCCATGCAGGATCTCACCTGGTGGGGCCTCACTGACCCTAAGAAAGGTGAGAAATCAGCCCAGAACTACAGCTGCTCTATGACCTGAAAGAGCCTGGACCACCGTTTCCATGGTTACTGTTGGCAATACACTAAGAAGTTAAATGAGCCGTTTGTAGTTCTGTTTTCAGGCATAGTTTGGGTCTATTTTACATAGTTTCAGTGCATTGGTTTGGTTCTCTGACCAGTATTCCTGCTCTACTGGTGGCGCTGTGGGTGAAATCCAAGTGTCCAGGTGGGGGCAGTAGGGGATGGGTGTGGGGAGGCTTCATTATATCCACATTTGGATCAATATGAGCATTTCCTTTGCATGCTGCCATAGACCGCCACCCAGGAATCTGGATCACATTCAGGGTTCAGTGCCGCATCTCCCAGTCTGGATGTTGCCTTCAGAGCGCGTCAGGACCTGGAGGCACCCAGAGGTCAGAGGGCATTTGATGGTCGCTACATAAAGTAAAAAACACGACTTTTCGGATTGAAAGTTGTGCCACTTTATTAAGCAGAAAGCTCACCTGGAAAAGTTTAGAGCTCAACTGGAGGACAAACAAAGGAGCTATATTCATTCAACCCTCCATCCTGTCACCTCAAGTCAGATCGATCAAATAATGTGGGAAGTTTATCGATTATCATTCAAGTGCCTCACTGGAAACAAACGTAGGACATTATGGACTGCTTTATGATGCGTTACAGCGTTCAGAGATGATGTTATAACCTGCTTCACGGCTAATGGCTTTTTTGGTGGCTTTCATATCTCAAAGTGTGAACATTCAACATGTAAAGGCGTTTGTTCATTTGGTGGCACTTAAGACTGATTAAGCACAAAGCAGCCTGTTGTTGTTTCGTTGATTCACTAGCCTGATAAACCAACTAAATGTGAGATTAAATGTGTAATCTAGTCTGGCCCTGTTGAATGAGACGTCAGAAGATTGTTGATTAGAAAAACCCGTTGTCTTTCAAACCATGTCTGTCCCTATTGGCCAACGCTCTGACCAATGAGAGCCACTCACTGTGACGTAGGAAGCGCGACAGGAAGCTGGTGGGGGAGTGGAAACAAACAGCCTGTCGGTAAAACGGTGAATAAGTGAACAAATGAACGAGCGTCTAGCCTCTTCCTGCTCACCTTTCAATGAAAACCCAAGTCTGATCCTTCCAGAACGGATTC